GCTCCGCTGCCCGGCTCCTTTCCCCGGGCGGAGCGGGGCGTTCGGAGCCGGGCAAGCAGCCCGGGCCGGGGGCCGGGGGCCGCCGCGCCCCCTCGCAGCTGCCTCTGCCCGCGTCAGCGCCCGTCACGGCCCGTCACGGCGGCGGTGACGGCAGCGCCGGGGGGGCTCCCGGCGGGCGGGGGCGGCCGGACCGTCCCCCCCCCTCCCCGGACTGTCCCGCTCCCCCCCGGCTGTCCCGCTCCCGCCCGGACTGTCCTGCTCTCCTCCCGGACTGTCCCACTCCCACTCTGGACTGTCCCGCTCCCCCTGGGCTGTCCCGCTGTGCCCCTCGAGCTCCCCTGTACTCCCTCCGTATTTACCCTGCTGCCGCCCCCGGGCTCCCCCATTTCCCCTTCGGGCTCCCCCTTCCCGGTCCGGGCTCCCCCGTTCCCCACCCCGGACTCCTCCGTGCTCCCCCCGCCGCCGCTCAGCGCTCCCGCACGGCTGGGGACTGGGAAGCGTTTTATGTGTTTGGGTTGTTTTTTTCTTTTAATTGTTTTCTTTTTCTTTGGTTTGGCTTTTCCCACCCCCCGCGGTTCCACTACCACACAGGATGTTTTCACCAGGAAGGCTTCGCGCTGGGAATGTCTCAGCCCCTGCTCCGGCTCTGGCTCTGGCGGGGGGGGCTCAGCCTGGAGAAAAGGAGGCTCAGGGGGGACCTTCTGGCTCTGCAACCCCCTGACAGGAGGGGGGAGCAAGATGGAGGTTGGCTCTGCTCCCAGGGAACAAGGGACAGGAGGAGAGGGAACGGCCTCCGGCTGTGCCAGGGGAGGGTCAGGTTGGATATTCAGGAAAATTCTTTCCTGGAAAGGGCTGTCCAGCCCTGGCACAGCTGCCCAGGGCAGTGATGGACTCCCCATCCCTGGAGGGATTTAAAATCCCTGTGGATGTGGCATTCGGGGACATGGATCAGGGGTGGCCTTGGCTGTGCTGGGGGAATGGTTGGACTTGATGGTCTCGGTGGGCTTTTCCAACCCAAACAACTCTGTGATTCCATGATTTTAGGAACAAACACGTCCTCCGGGGAGCAGCTCCTCCTCTGTGATGAGGAGCAAGCACATCATCGGGGTTTGATGTCAGTCGCGCGTCCTCTGGATGCAACCGATCCCAGAAAACAGCCTATTTTAAGTGCCTTGTGAAGTTTTCTTACATAAAACACATCTCCAGACTCGCCCCCCACGCACACGCGCTCGAGCGCAGGCGTTGGTTGGGGTTTTAACTTGGCAGCATTTTCCTAAAAGGTTTGGAAATGCCAAAAGTAGTAACTACGCTGCAGAGACTGTTACAGCCTCTCAGCTGCCATTCGGCTCTGAATTCCTGCTCTCTGACAAGGATGCCAGCCAGGCTGGGATCATGGAAAAACAACCCCAAGACTGTCCCAGGAATGGCACAGGCGCCTTTGCTGGGGATGGGGTTGGGAAGGGATCAGGAAGAGGCAGAAGCCGCCCACCACTGCAGGGAGAGACCCACAGAGCTGCACCCTTCCCACTTTTCCAGCAGACTACAGGGATATAATTGCACTTTTCCTCCCAGAATTCAGGTGTGCAGGCCACGGAGCTGCCCGTGGATCTCTAGTGGATGAGCTCCATCAGCCACATGGAGACACCAGGATGGGTGTCCCAGGGCCAGGTCTGGCCGTGGTGCCCGTGGAGGTGCCCGGGATCCGCATCAGCCATTGCCTGCTTGTTTGGGAATTTTCTCGGGGATTGTCTCAGCTCCAGGCTGTTCTGCCAGCTCTGGAAACCCCCAAAACTTGACACTTGAGTGATGTATTTATGCCACAAACACTCTAAAACAGCATAATTACACCTTGTTCTCCCTGTATTTTGGGAATTAACTGACACAACATAAAGAAATCTGGTTTAATTAACTGCTTTTGTTAAGTGAAATGTATTTTGTTGTTTCAAGAGAAATCCTTTCTTGTTTTGGGAGGGATTTTCTCAATATATCTGGGATCCTTCCTCCTCAGAAACATATTCCCTGGAAGACACTGCCATGTCTGAAGCAGGAAAACAAATATCCACAGAAGCTTGAAAAAGGGGCAGGTTACCAGTGCAGCCCTCTCCTGCAACTGGTTGTACTGTGAGGTGTTGGTGGCCCCCTCTCCAGACGGACAGTGCTGTTTGGAGGTCCTTGCACACACAGAGGGGCTGATGATGAGCTCCAGAAGTGTCCCTGGGTCTGCCTGGGGATGATGGTGCTCAGCGCTGGAGCCAGGAAAGATGCTCAGAACAAACACCGGTGTTTTTCCTCCAAGATCTTTTTCATGACCGGAGCCTCATAACAACAGCCTGAGGTGGCTCAGGGCTCGTGTCAGGAGCCCCACCCATGGGTGCCCCTGTGTGAGAGAGGGTGTTCCTGGGGCCTGCACGGCCACTCACTCAGAGCCTGGCAGATGTGAGACAATGCCGGAGGAATGTCTGGTGGGAGCGAGTTACCACGAGTCTGTTCCCGTAATCCCAACCCAAAACCATTTGCTGAATCCTCTCAAACAATCTTCTGTGGGATGCACTCACTGCCAGCGGCGGGGAATGCCTGGCCTGGTGAGTCCATCCCCGCAGAGGGTGGCTCTGACCCCTCGCTTGCTGCCGTGGCCAGGTTTGAAGGCGCTGTGGGTTCGAGTTTAAAGGCGCTGTGGGTTCAGGTTTAAAGGCACTGTGGGTTCGGGTTTAAAGGCGCTGTGGGTTCGGGTTTAAAGGCACTGTGGGTTCGGGTTTAAAGGCACTGTGGGTTCAGGTTTAAAGGCACTGTGGGTTCGTGCAGGGCCGTGCAGGGAGGGGCAGCATTGCCCATGGCATCACCAGCACCGCTCTCATGTGGGGGGCCCTGCCTGCCCTGCTCCGGAGCTTGAGGGGGCCCCATCCTCCCCCTTCGCTCACTTCTTAACAAAATAATTTTCCACTGAGGCTGCGAGGCTCGAGGCCTCCCCAAAGCCAGCTATTTTGAGCATTTTCCACAGCATCTCTGAACGCTGTTGTGCTCATGACTGGTGAGTGGGAGATCCGTGTGCGCAGATCCCGCCGAGCCGTGATGGAGTGTGCCAGCCCTGCCGGGCGCCAGCCTCCTCCTCCTCCTCCTCCCTCCAGCGTAGTCTGGCTTGAAATTGTGCCACCAGCACAACCCCCCGTCACAGTCACAGGCTGTCCCAGGCTGTCTCCAGGCTGGTGGGCGGCTGCCCTGCGTCACACGGGCCCTGCTGGGAGCCATGTCCCCCTCATGGGATGTGTCCCAGCAAGGGGCTGTCCCCGGGGATGGACAGTTTCCACCTCTGTGTTCCCTCAGACAGCCCCGGGGACAGCATGGTTTGCAAAACACATGGTTGATGTCTTGGTGTGTAGAAGTTGTGTTTTAAATTCTTTCTCTGAAATAAGTCCTCAGAAGTGTCCAAGGCCAGGTTGGGCCGGGCCTGGGGTAACCTGGGATAGTGGAAGGTGTCCCTGCCCATGGCAAGGGGTGGAACAAGGTGAGCTTTAAGGTCCCTTCCAACCCAAACCAGCCTGTGATTCTAAGTCTGATTTACAAAGCACAGTCTCCTTTGGGCAAAAGGCTGTTGGAGCTTTTCTTCACTGCTGAAGGTCCCGATGATAACAGATGAAGTGAGCTGAACCTGTGAGACCCATTCAAACCTCGTCAAGATTCAGCAGTCAGACTCGGTGATGGCTGGGTCAACCTCTTGGGGACCTTCCAAAGCATGGACACACTTCAGGTTCTTCCAGGCACCTGCCCCGAGGGGCAGAGAGTTGCTGGTACCTCCCTTTAGTGATGTGCTTTAGTGGTGGGCTTGGCAGTGATGGGTTAATGGTTGGACCTCATGGTCTGAGAGGGCTTTTCCAACCTAAACCCACAGTGACAGCCACCGGGAACTGAGTTATCAGCATTGTGTGTTTGTCCAGCCACTCTATGACAATGTTATCTCCTGGCTCATACCTACTGCAGGCTTCAGAAAAAAGGGGTAAATTGAAGAGAAAACAGCTCCTGATAGTCCTGAATTTGCAAAACTCTCCATGTCTGTGACGGCTGCTGTCATTAGAGGGAAATGGCAGGGAGAACAAACCCATTAGTGCAGTTGTTAATTGAAAACAGGACCGTGTGGAGAATGGGGTTTGTAATTATGAGAATAATTATTAAAATATCATTTTGCTTTTTAAAATGCCTGACTTTAGTAGAGGATATGGAGGAGTTACGTTTTAAAAAGTTAATTATTTCCAGTGCTTCAGAAAGGGAGGTCTAAGCTGAAAATGATTTACCAAAATTGTTAAGACAGCTTTTTAATTATCAGTTTTAAAACATTGTCATCGAGCATCAGCTGAGCCTCAGTTTTACTTTCTCTGCAGACTGTGCTTCCCTCCTGTGCAGATCCTGCTCCTTCCCAGGACTCTCCAGAGCTGTGAGCTGGGCATGGCTGTGGTGGTGGGTCAGGAGCACCCAGATCCCATTTTTGACTTGCCATTTTGGCCTTTGGGCGTCTGGCTGTCCTTCCCAGCAGCTCTGGTGCTGGTGGCTTTTCCCCATGGTCTCCCCATCCCGGTATGGTTTCTCAGGACGATGCTGGGATCTGGCAGGGCCCCAGATGCAGGGGTGGCTCTGTGCTCAGGGGTCTTTGTCCTTCACCACCTTTTGGAGCCCCGGGTCGATGGGGAAAGGGTCTGGGTCAGGCTGGCTGAGAAGGGGGCACCCAACACCTCCACAGCCCCCAAAACCTCTGGAACGTGAGCCAGGGATGAACCGGCACTGGCACTGCTCAGTGCACTCAAGAGGGCTGCTGACATCTCCCAGGAACCAGGGAAAACAGAGAGGAGCACTTCTGTGGGGAGTAAACAGCAGTTAGAGCTGGGCACGTGGCAGCAGTTAAACAGCTCCTTTGGCAGGGTGACGTGTACAGCAGTGGCTGCAGCTGCTGCTCCTACACGAGGGCTTCAAGTTGTTCATGCAGGTTCTTACTACAGGGTGTAGGTGCACACGGGTGTACATGTACTCAGCTGTGTGCTGTGCACACTGGGTGTGCCTGGAGGTGTTCCCCAGGGGATCCTGCCCCTCTGCCCCCTCAGGTGAGACCCCCCTGCAGAGCTGCTCCAGCCCTGGGAACAGCAGCACAAGGACGTGGAGCTGCTGGAGAGAGTCCAGAGGAGGCCACGGAGCTGCTCCAGGGCTGGAGCCCCTCTGCTCTGGAGCCAGGCTGGGAGAGCTGGGGGGGTTCCCCTGGAGAAGAGAAGGCTCCAGGGAGGCCTGAGAGCCCCTGGCAGGGCCTAAAGGGGCTCCAGGAGAGCTGGAGAGGGACTGGGGACAAGGCATGGAGGGACAGGACACAGGGAATGGATCCCACTGCCAGAGGGCAGGGAGAGATGGGATATTGGGAAAGAATTGCTGGCTGGGAGGGTGGGAGGCCCTGGCACAGGTTGGGCAGAGAAGCTGTGGCTGCCCCTGGATCCCTGGAAGTGTCCAAGGCCAGGTTGGACGGGGCTTGGAGCAACCTGGGCTGGTGGAAGGTGTCCCTGCCCATGGCAGGGGGTGGAGCTGGATGATCTTTAAGGTCCCTTCCCACTCAAATCGGTCTGGCATTCCATAATTCTACAACCAGGAGGAGGGTGTCTGAACTTCATCCTCTCTTTCCCTCCCTCAGCACTCCTTATCTTCCAGCTGGAATTGAGCACAAGCACAGCACAGGCACACACCCAATGGCACACAAATATGGACTCACCATATCCAGACAACTGGATAACTATGGAGAAAAAGGCAATTAATGATGCACAATAAATAATATAGTTTTCCTTGCAACATTTGAAGCACAGTAAGTAATAAACACTGCTTTGAGAGGAGTGATATTCAATAAAACTACCCAAAGAAAATTCAGCCTTTGTTGCTGAATGGAGGAAAAACAGGTTTTTATTCAGGTATAACTAAATGGGATCTGGTTCTTCAATATGGAAAAACTGGATTAAATCTGAGACGAAAACTGAATCCCATTAATATTACTAGTAAATAGAAATCTATGATTTTTTGGATGAGGGAGCTTTAATAATAAGAGGCGTCATAAAGAGAGAAATCAAAACTGGATTGTACATTCAGCAGATTGTTCAATACAAAAGCCAACAAAATTAGGCCATATTGATGTGATGAGCAAGGAGAAATATATTAGTTTCCAGCTCACAACATTCCGGTACAAGACATCATCGGAAAACCCAGTCAATTCTGATATCAGTCAGATCCTGATGAAACGAGCCCACACTTCCAGCAGACAATCCTCCAGGAATGGCCCCTATTGACACATTGGTAATGAGATGGAAATGCATTTATTGCTGCTGGTTCCCAGCCCCACCGGCGCTCACTGGGCCCGGCTGGGCGAGTGCTGCCAGCTCGGGGTGGCCACCACGGCCACCCCCGTGTCTGGGGCAGGACAGGCCAGCAAAGGTCTTTTTTAATGCTTGTAAAGGTATTGAGGTCTTAATATTTGAAATGATGCCATGGCTCAGCCTGGATAATGAGAGTGTCATCCGGTGCTTATCAGGGAAGGTGACATGTTTCAGTTGGGAGATATATATATATATATATTTCCAAAGTTTTTCCAGGAACAACAAATCACATTTGTTCCAAAAGCAAGTTCCTAACATCTCTACCTAAAAAATGTGATACTTAGCAAGAAAACTGAAAAATAAATAATTCTTTTTCTAGGAAGTTTCTGCTTGCTGGGGGCAGAGTCTGAGCTGCAAATGGGGAATGAGGTTCAGGGAATAAGTCAGCACTTTAGGAAATAATTATGATAATAAAACTAAAATAAACCATAAACCACAATAATAATAATAATAATAATAATAATAATAATAATAATAATAATAATAATAATAATAATAATAATAATGTAGTATTGTACTTTTGCAGGGTTGGGGTACAATATTTTAATCAGGTCTTCTCTAAGCAAATCCGAAGTGTCCCATTGAATGATCTGTCCTAATGAGGTTCCGTGTGGGTTTCCAAATCACCTCCTGCCTTGGCTTCCTGAGCAGGTCGGTGAATTAAAGACCTGTGAAAAAGCAGGAGCATCCCACTGCCTGCACAGCCCTATTGTTGGTGTAACCTGTGTAATTGTTACAGTGACAGAGCTTTCCAGAAACCTCCTATTTGCCTCAAATCCTGAAATGTTAATTCTCATCTCTGATTAAGCTGAAGACCAGTCAAGGCTCCTTTTATTAAGTCAGGCAGAGTCCTACCTGCTTCCCGAGGGCTAAATTTGGCTGGGAAAGCCACTGTAATATTGTGTAATTAATTTGCCAGTCAAATAATTTCTGCAGGGCTCTAATTTACTTATCTGTCTGCAATCCTAATGAATCCCCCAGCTCAGTACTTTAATCATGTTTTCTGCCTTTTTATCTCCTTTTTTAACTCCAACTTTCCTAATTGTTTACTATGGGCTCATCTGTAACCTGTATTTTTGGCATGTTTTAGTTCTCACACCAAAACCCAGTCGAACACTTGGCTCTGCAGGTCTCCTTCATGACTGGGAACTGCTGAAAGCCTTCCTTGCTTTATTCCTCAATTTCTCCACAACAAACAAGGAAGTTGAGTCAATAAAAATCAAAGATGTAAAAATCCATGAGAAAAAGACATTTGCACTTGGAGCATTTAAGATGGTAACCTCATTCCAACTTGGTGTAACGTATGTGCAGAGCTTCCTAAAGGTTATTCTGAGCACTATATTCCCTGATTAATGCCAGTAGTAGATATGTTTCAAAAAATGTGTGTATAGGAGACTTGAGGACACCTTTTAGTGGAGAACATGGTGGTGCTGGGTTGACATTTGGACTTGATGATCTCCAAGGTCTTTTCCAACCTTAACAATTCTGTGATTCCAGTAAATGTAACATTCACAGTCTTCGTCGTTTCTCTGCAAATCACAACTCCGTCCTCGTTGGTTTTTTTCTTCTAATACATTAATTATTTTAAATGATTTGGTAAGTGGCATACTTATGTAGTGTTTCTGTGGTATTTATATGGTATTTATGCACCTGGGAGCAGAGACCTGCAGGTCTGTCATTGCATGGGCAGGGAACGCCCACGGCTGGGCTGGATCCACGGCATGGATCCTCCTCACGTGTTTCTGTTACACCACCAGGCTTTGCTGCTCTGTTCTTCTGAATGGCAGTGTTGATTTTAAGAAGGAATTTCGAGTGCAGACATTCAGTCCTGGGGACAAGTGCAGCGGTAGGCAGATGTAGCAGAAGGAAACACAGACATGCCTATCTGTCTGTTCAGAATCCCGCTGCGATCCCTGTTCCCAGGCAGTCCAGGGAGCCTCGTCAGGCTGGACTAGAGAACTCCATGAGGGTGGAGAGAAGTTGCTGTGGGAAATACGGAGTGAGTTTACGTGAGCATCTGACGAGGGCTGACGAAAAACGCAGAAACTTGAGCAGATTAAAGAAAACCCATCCCCAGGGCCAGGGGAGGCCTCCCCAAAGGAGTGAGGTACCAGGAATGAGTTAATCCCACCAGGGAATGCGGAGGAGCTGCCAGATAACAGAGTGACATTGTTTTTCCCTGATGTCAGCACAGAAACCCAAACACAAAGAGGTGAATGTAGTCCTTGGAGGCAGCTGAATGTGGAGCTTGTGCCTGCCTCCAGCAGCATTGAGACAAGATGACAAAGTGTTTCCTGGAAGCAGGGGCTGGCTCCGGACAGCTGGGCCAGCCATGGTGGGAAGGACTGGGAGATGTTCACGTGCTGGGAGCAGCCACAGGGTCCCATTCTGCTCCCTCGTGCTTTATGAACATGCAGCTCTGACAGGCTCAGGCTTCCACTGAGTAATTTACAGCCATCCATGGTCATTTTATTTTCCTTTACAGCTCACTTTAAGGCATCTTATTTTCTCCTGAAGTGTCTCCACGTTGTGTCTGGCCTGAGTAATTCAATTTATTCTGTATTAGGTAGGTGATGGTCTAGTGGATATTTAGGCCTTCCTGGAACAGAAGCCTTGTTTCACTTCAATATAGGCAGCACTTGTATTGCTTCCAGAGGGATGGTAATTAAATACTTGCTGATAGGCTTTGGATGTGGAGCTGCTCTTCTCAGCAGCCGGAATGTGCTCTGCCTGGATCCACCTCTTGAGCGGGACGTTACACAATTGGGTGACTGTCCATCACATATGAGAAATCCATAACGGCATAGTAATATCTGTATTATTCATTTTTGGCTATTCTGAAGTCTACAGGAAGGTAAACAAAAGGAGAAAAACCTGAAGAGAAGGTTTTAAATTGCTTTGTGTTTTTATTGCAGGGCTGGTATTAACCTGCTCGGTGCCCTTGGCTCGGCCTGGTGAGGAGCCACGGCTGCTCTGCGCCTGGGCTTACACACAAACCCCAGAGCTGGTGTGTTAATCAGGGAAAGCACACTCAGGAACTCCTAGACAGCAGCTTCTTAAAATCTGCTTGGAAGAAAGTGAAGCTGCAAATGTTGTTTTCTGAGCGGACGGAAAAATGTGAGTCACTGAGGTTATGGGTGTTGAAATGGGGCACAGAGGGTCGGCTGGGTGGGGAAGGGTCCTCCCCGTCCCGGCTCTGAGACCGTACAGCTGCTCGTGAGAATATAAATTAAACACTCTGGAATTATCCAGCACATCTGGAGCCAGTCCAGAGGAGGCCACGGAGATGCTCCAGGGCTGGAGCCCCTCTGCTCTGGAGCCAGGCTGGGAGAGCTGGGGGGGTTCCCCTGGAGAAGAGAAGGCTCCAGGGAGACCTGAGAGCCCCTTCCAGGGCCTAAAGAGGCTCCAGGAGAGCTGGAGAGGGACTGGGGACAAGGCATGGAGGGACAGGACACAGGGAATGGCTTCCCACTGCCAGAGGGCAGGGAGAGATGGGATATTGGGAAGGAATTCCTGGCTGGGAGGGTGGGAGGCCCTGGCCCAGGTTGGGCAGAGAAGCTGTGGCTGCCCCTGGATCCCTGGAAGTGTCCAAGGCCAGGTTGGACGGGGCTTGGAGCAACCTGGGCTGGTGGAAGGTGTCCCTGCCCATGGCAGGGGTGGGAGTGGATGAGCTTTAAGTTCCTTTCCCACCCAAACCATTCCATGACTCCATGACCGTGTGGAATAGCTCAGATGCACACTGAGGGAGACCGGCAGTACCATGGAGATGGAGACGGTTCTGAAAATAAACCTGAACAGAGAGCAGCTCCTGCTAAAGCTCATGGAAATTGCTTTTTTTTTTTGTTTTTGAGGGGGTGGCTCTTTCCCGTCCAGTACCAGGGCTCTAAACCTGCCAGTCCCGACCCCGGCTGGGTATCCCCGAGCGGGGTTCAGCAGCCCGGGCTGCCCCAGGCCCCGAGCTATCCCCGCACACAGCGCTGCTCCTGGAGGGATCCCTGTTCCCGTTCCCGGCAGAGGGAGTCGTGTGGGGGCGAGGAGGGCGGGAAGGGCGGGAAGGGCGGGCCCAGCCGCGGCCACATGAGCGCGCCGGGCAAAGAGGCCGCCATGGCCGGGGATGTAGCTCAGTGGTAGAGCGCGCGCTTCGCATGTGTGAGGTCCCGGGTTCAATCCCCGGCATCTCCAGGCGCTTATTTTCCTTGTCCTTCTTTTGTTTTTTTTTTCTTTATTATTTTTCCCGTCATCCCCGCGCGGCCGCCGCGGGGACAGGTCTCCCGCGGGGGGGGTTCCCTCGGGCGGGAAGAGGCGCCGCCGGGATGGCCATCCCGACATCCATCCTCTTCCCGCCCGAGGGAACCCCCCCCGCGGGGAAAACGAAAGCGCCGCGGCCCCAAAAACGCGACGGCTCCTCCCGCCCGCAAAAATACGAGTTGCATTGGCCGGGAATCGAACCCGGGCCTCCCGCGTGGCAGGCGAGAATTCTACCACTGAACCACCAATGCGCGCTCGGACGGGTCCGCCCGCCCCTGCCTGAACCAGCTCACCCCGCGCTTTTTACCCTTTCCGCCTCTTTTCCGCCCTTTTTCAGCCCCCACGTCCCCAGGCAGCACTTCGGAGCCGTTATTCCCCGGGGAAAAAGGGCGTTAGAAATTTAGCAATGCCTGCTATACGTTTTTCCTCTAAAGGATTACAGCCCCCCCTAGAAAAGTGTATGACGTCCCCATCACACGCTCCACAGAGCCTGCTCTTGTTCATCCCTCACAGACATGAGATTTCAGTAATCATTTTTATTTCATTGCATCATTTCTCAGCATATTGTTTGAAACCTTTTTTTTCCCCAGCATATTCTTCAAAAACTTTTTTGCTCAGCGCATTCTTTGAAACCCTTTTTTCTCAGCATATTCTTTGAAAAGTTTTTTTTCTCAGCATATTCTTTGAAAACTTTTTCTCAGCATATTCTTTGAAAACTTTTTTTTTCCTCAGCATATTCTTTGAAAACTTTTTTTTTCTCAGCATATTCTTTGAAAACTACTTCTTTCTTTGTTTGTTTGTTTTTTCCCCTAAGCATTCTGTTAGTATCTTCTCAGGGATAAACAAATGTTATTCCTTGAATAAGTCAGGGGGAGTGTTCAAGGAACAGCAGCACCGAGTGTTTCACGTCAAGGGAACATTAAGATTTACGTACAAAAAGAACAGTTGTGCTTGAGGACACGGCCCAGGTAGGAGGAACACCGACCACCAACCACCTCTGGAAAAGGAGGAAGCAGGTGTTTTCTTCTTCAGCCAACAGCAACCTGGCACTACAGGTGCTGTTCCAATTTCCTGTGTGGGCACACATGAACACCACAATGTAACCATACGTCACAGTTCCCTTCCCTTCTTAACTTCCTCCAGCAGAAGGTGACATCATAAAAACTTCAAGCAAAAACTGTAATTTAGGTTATTGCTCATGACTGCATCAGTCAGCCTAGAAAAACTGTGTTCCCAGACAAGCCCAGGACCAGAAATCCCCAAGCACTTACATAAAAAAATATACATATTGAGAAGCCCCTAATTCCCTATTTACTGTGTCTAGCAGTTAGCCAAGAGGACGTAAACAGAAAGCACTGACCAACTAGTTTCCCTCTACTTTTATTCTGTCACCTCTCATTCCTGGTGAGCTGAGGTGCCAGGGCCCGGCTGGCAGGGGACACCTGGCAACATCTGTGCACAGCCACGTGGGAAACAGCAGCGTGTCCTCAGAGAGAGTCATGGAATCACGGAATCACAGGATGGGTTAGGTTGGAAAAGCCCTCTGATATCACCCAGTCCAAAGGTTCACTCACGGCGCCGCCAAGGCCACCACTGAGCCATGTCCCCAGGTGCCCTCAGCTCTCTGGGGCAGCTCAGGGCAGAGCAGAACACGGTGTTTCCATGGAACTGCCACTCCTTAGAGAATTATCGCACAGAGGGTCACCACAGTGACACGCTTTGCACTACTGGCAAGTCCCACTTGTTCCCAGAGCAGAAGTGAAACCCATGCTTGCACTCGCAGTTGGTAACTCAGAGAACAGTTTCTCATGTCCATTAGAGCATGTTTTGCATCTGCTCAGAACATCTGGGGGTGTTGGCTGACGTAGTGCAGGGAACTCCATCACCCAGGAGGAGTTTGGCAACTCACAGGCCTTCCTGGGGACCAAATGTCACTCTAGAACATGCTCTGCAAACCCTTTCCCAAGCTGGGTGACCCAGGGTCACACTTGGCTTCCCTTAAAACTCACTGTGAGTAGGAGAGTGATGCACGGAGGAGAGAACTGAGACCTGTAGTATTGGATAGGGTGGTCCAGAGCCTCAGAACTGGTGAAAAATTCATAGGATCAGTTCAGTTGATTAAGAATCCCCATGATCTCTGATGTTGATGCTTCTGGCCGAGGCTCAACACTGTGTCTTCCTGTGCTTCCTCTGTCACCACCAGCACCTGGAGGTGCTCCAGTGTGTGTGCCTCCAAGGAGGATGCTGCAGCTCCAGGGCACCTGCAGGGCACCACAGCCTCGCACACCCCAGTCCAGCTGGTACAGCTGCAATAGGAACAAGGTTGATAGGCAGCAGTAAAACAGCTCAAATCAAGCCTCAAAGTGCAGGTGTGGCTCACCTGGGGTGTGGCTCACCTGGGGTGTGACCAGTGGATATGGCTCATTCCCTCCTCCCTGCCGACAGGGACATGTGTTCCCAGTGTCACGCGGCGGGATGGAGGCTGTGCAGCCGCCCGCCATAAAATGGGTGTGGTGTCAATCCTTGGATATAAAACAGGGAAAGTGTGATGGTACAGATATACCTGCTGGCTCTGATCCACCTCAAGTGGAGCTGTATTAAATCATGCAAGTCCTACAAAGAGCAGCTGAGGGAGCTGGGGGGGCTCAGCCTGGAGAAAAGGAGGCTCAGGGGGGACCTTCTGGCTCTGCAACCCCCTGACAGGAGGGGGGAGCCGGGGGGGGTCGGGCTCTGCTCCCAGGGAACAAGGGACAGGAGGAGAGGGAACGGCCTCAGGCTGTGCCAGGGGAGGGTCAGGTTGGACATCAGGAGGAATTTCTCCCTGGGAAGGGTGGTGAGGCCTTGGCAGGGGCTGCCCATGGAGGTTTGGAGTGCCCACCCTGGAGGTGTCCCAGGAAGGCCTGGCCGTGGCACTCAGTGCTCTGGGCTGGGGGACAAGGGGGGCATCGGGCACAGGGTGGACTCCATGGAGGCCTTTTCCAACCTCAATGATCCTGTGATTCTGTCAGTGGAGATCTTAGAAATTATGCCTGAGGAGTAACTCCAAGTGCCCTGACATACAGCAAACCTCTTTGTAAGAACCAACCCATGCTTCACTAACACATACCTAATATCACCTGGGAGGTCCAGTCCAGACTTCCAAAACACCAAAGGATAACGACTGGCTTTTCAAAATGGCTTCTAAAAGCCTCCTCATAAAGGCTTCCAGAGCGTGCTCTTGTCTCTTCTTCCAGAGCGCAGAGGAATCGCTCCATCTCCGGCGAGTTCTCCGCTGAGTGGAGCACACGCACATCAACTTGATTTTAACAGGTCACGGAATAAGCCGGGCATTTAAAAATATCCACCTACCCAAAAGGACAAATGAAGCCGTATTGTGGAGCCTTCAGCAAAGATTGTTGGAACAAAACAAACAAAACAATCGTGGTAATCTTTTAGGGAAGACTTATAATGTAGAACAACTTGTCAGAGCGGGTTAAAGTTTTAAGGCCTAGCAATTTTGACAGCGTCCCTTTGAGCACAGCGCGAGCGCGGGGACGAGCAGGACAGCAAAAGGTCACTTGGTCACACGTATCCGCTGCCTCCCTGAAGTTTAGCTCAAGACCCACTAGGCACGTCCCAATTAATTATTTAAATCTGCAGGGAAAAGTATTTCTGTAGATGAAAAGGTATGATCTGAAATTCCAGGGAAGCTGCAGGATGGCTGGTGTGGTCAAAAACGGCGCTAAAGGAAGATGGGGTGAGATATCCCATCCATGGGCTTTGGACACTGAGAGGAGCCATTTACATCCAGGAATGCTGATTGTTTCAGATACCAGCCAAGGGGAAACACAGGGATTTTCCAATATCCCTTTTCTCCCAATGGAACAGTTCTGGATCACTAAAGGTCACCAAAACCAAATTGACAATTATATACGTGGTTATTTAAAATAATTTCCCCCAACACAACCATTGATGATGTTGCTGGAAATCTGTGCAAGTTCCTTATAAACCACGGACACCCTGAAAATGTTCACTCCAGATCTCACCCAAATGGTCCCAAAGGAACACCATCAGACAGGCAATGCCAGGGAAATGAGCACTGGAAGAGAACAGGAGACTGAAATCCTCTCTTTATTCATTATGCACTGGGATATCAGGCTGGGGTTTTCAAAGTGATTGTATATCTTTGAACTGGTTTTCTAAGGTTTTCCTAATCAATTCAACAGAGAAAATACCTGGATAAACAGCAGATGTGTATATTCACCAGGACTCGTTTTGGTCTGTCATTGTCTCAGAATAAAAAACAATACAGCACAAATTCCAAAGAGCCTTTTGCAGTCCATTTGCTGAATATAATCTCTCACTCTGGCACATGTAGAGGAAATAAATTTAATAGATTTTTTATATATATATTTCCTGCCACAACCAAGATCTTTAAACGTTTAAAGATAAAATAACTACTCTTGACTAGTCCAAGCAGCCCTGCTTTCTAAAAGCTATTGTCTTTCTTTTTCACCAAGGAAATTCACGTTTTCTATCAGACCCAGCTCGGCTCTTTGCCCCAAAAAACAGAGATACTCCACACCCCTTCCTTCCGTTCCCTGCCTGTGCTGCCATTGCAGGGAGAGGCCAATTAATGATGGTGTTTGTTCTGCCACACAGAACGTGCCCCGTGACCTTATTCTTTTAAAACTGCAATTTTTGCATTTGTTTCTGTGGCTCAGCCCTGATGTGGGATCTTGATGGAACAGCAAACAATCAGACATGATTACGATGATAACACATTCTGCAGTTTTAATAGAAAAAGGAGCCCCTTGCTCATTCTCAGACACACAGTGGATGGATTTATCTGTTGCATCTCGGGGAAACGATTAAACACCAGCAACACTTCCTGGTTCATTGGCAAACTGAGCATCCCATGGGAAGCCACAGGGTTGTACTTCGACTGACACCTGACACCCGCAGCCCGAGATGGGAACAATCTCAATGTTTAACCACAGCCATGACTAAGTACTTTTATTTTCCAACGGGAGGACCTACCAGTGGATCCCACCGGAAAAAAATCTCGGCAGAGAAATTCTGCATCTGTTCCTGTCCCTCCGTCTCAGCTCTCCTGCGATCATCAGCACCCCTTGCTCCTCACAAAGACACTTTCCTGAAGACAGATTAGGAGCAAACATATTTGTGAACGTATGAACAGATTTTCTCCTTATGATACATAACTTTGGCATGCAGTCAGGAAACGAGGATAATCTTCTTCCCCATCTTCCCTTGCTAATGAAGAGAAACTGCCTCTGGGGTTCAGGACAAAAGGTGAACTCTCCCTGCACACAATTTACACCTGCTGAGCACATGATTTCGGGCATCTAAAATTCGTGTCTTGGCAGGTGTCCCGGGGACTCAGCCACACACACGGAGACTCAGGAGGTAATATTTTCATCTAGGCATTAAATAAAAAGCAGAGTCAAGAGGGATGAGTTTTGCGGTATTTTCAGGCATCTCTCTTTTTTTTTTTACCCTTGTAAAATTCTTTCACTTTGCAAACTTATGAAGCCCAATCTTTGCCAATGAGTAACTAAGATAAAAACAGAGGTAAAAAGTAACTAAGATGAAAAGACAGCAGTAGTTGAACAGAAGCCTGATGGAGGGAGAACAGCCCATCCCTGTTCATTGGTAGCAGCACTGTGAACATGTGGACAACCTCTCCTGGAAAGTGAGATTGCTTGGGAAATGTGATCCTTATAAAGTTTTCACTCACTCCTGGATTTCTCTTTATGAGGAGAGTAGTACAACGTTCTCATTTTCTACTCCCTCCAAGATTTTGCTGGTATGGAAGAGCTGATGAGACACAGCAGTGCTGGGTGCAGAAAATGTTCACTTGGAAACAGAACGTAGACACATTTTGTGCTAATAAACTGCCTTGTTTGGAGTCAATAAGAAATGACCATAAATTAAAACTGACAGCACAGCCTCATGTGGGTAGACAACACCCTTGAGGGGTGGGAGGGCAGATGATTTTCCCAGTTCTAACAAACTTATGATCAAGTTTTGAATATTTGTTAGAAATGCATGAAATGATAACATTTTGTGCCACATCAGGACACATACATGGGGAAGGCATTCACACCCAGAACTTGTTAGAACACATACATGGGGTAGGCATTCACTTGTAGAACCATGTGTGTGTTGGATCATGTTGCAATTATTCACCACAAATTGCATTCAAATCCCTTCCCGCCCCCCCCAATTCTTCTTCCTTTCTCACGATCTCTCAAAAAGAGAAAAACAAACAAACAAAAAATCAAATAAAGAAACAAACAAAAACCCAAACAAAACACGGTACCCCAAACCCAAACAAAACATCGTACTCCAAACCCATAACCTCAAACACCAACTGATCATTTTCTGGTGAGTTTCCTCGGATTTTCTAACCTTTCTCTGCAGCTGAGGGCTTCTAAGCCTGAACATCTAAAAATTCCAGCTGCCACTTGAGATCTTACTCCCTTTTAAGAGCACTTATGTGCCTGGGATAAACACGGCTCCCATCACCGGTGGCCTGAATATCACTGACTTTGCAAAACCCGTGAAATCCAACCCCTGCAGTTGTTTACTGCCTTTAAGCGACACCCCGGCAGCTGCCGACCACGAGGAGCTGCGCGGGTGGCAGCGCCGGGCCCCACGCGTGGGCCCGAGGCCTCCGGCGCGGCCTCCCGCGCAGCCCCGGGGAGGGGCCGCCATGGGCGGCGACCCCCGTCACGCGAGGCCGGGGATGAGGAGGCCGCGCCGGGCCCCTCCCCGCGGGCCAGGCCGCACCGGCGGCCCCGGGCAGGGCAGGGCAGGGCAGGGCGGGGAGGTGCCCGCGGTGTTCGAGGCGGAGCTCGGGGGAGCCGGGCTGGCTGCTGCAGGCGGAGGGCGGGCGGCAGAGAGCCGCCCTCCCTACTTCTGCTGCCGCCGGCCGCAGCCGCCCGCACAGGGACCGCGGGCTGCCGCGGTAAGTGGCTCTCGGGGGTATTTCCGAGCGGGGTTCGGAGCCGCGGGGGTGGCGCGGGGGGATGGAGGGAGCGGGGCCGGCCCGGACACGCGGGTGGAAGGCGGGGAAGCCCCGGGGGTGCCTTTATTGTGAGTGCAGATGAGCCGCATCCCTCCTGCCTCCGCTCCGCTCCTTACCCTGCCGGCCCGGCAGCTGCCCCAGCCCGGGGAGTGCCCAGGCCGGGCTGGACGGGGCTTGGAGCGACCTGGGCTAGGGAAAGGTGTCCCTGCCCGTGGCAGGGCGTGGGACGGCAGCATCTTTAAGGTCCCTTCCCACCCAAACCAGTCCGGGGTTTTATGATTCTGTGTGTAAGGCTCACAGAACAGCGCGGGTAGGTGGGATGTTGGGGAGAAATTCCTCCCCAGTTTGCGGGTGTTGAGGCCCTGGCACAGGTCGGGCAGAGAAGCTGTGGCTGTCCCCGGATCCCTGGAAGTGTCCAAGGCCAGGTTGGACGGGGCTTGGAGCAACCTGGGCTGGTGGAAGGTGTCCCTGCCCGTGGCAGGGGGTGGCACTGGATGGGCTTTAAGGTCCCTTCCAACCCAAACCATCCTGCGGTTCCATGATCTTACACAGCAGCTCTCACTCCCAAGGGCTCCCAGCCTCCTCCCACTGTTTTATTTAAGCTTTCGGTTGGAAAAGAAATGACCAAAAAAAGGAGTGTGTGGCAGTTTTGTGGAAGTGGTGTAGAGCCCCTGGCAGCTGTCTGGTGTGCGTGTGGTCCCTGTGCTCCCTGAGAATGTCCCACAGGCAGCGACCCAGCCCAGAGTCTCCCTGTCCATGGACAGCTGCCTGAGCACCTCTAGGTATCTATATATAACAAATAAGGGGAGTTGCAGAGCTCTTTCACTGTATTTTCTTTCTTGGATGGAGGGGATAGACACAGCATCTATTGGTGGGAAAATGTGAATTCTGGGCAAAAAAATAGCATATCTGCAGTTACACAGAACTTTGGAAAATGAAAGTAACTTACTACTTGCACCGAACGTACTCGTGGGACCGTTGCTGGGTGAGAGTGTAGCAAGGCCTAATTTTTTTGAGTTGTTATCTCTACTAAGCTATCAGTAAACGTTTGTAAGCCTGATACTGTGGGAAAAGGTGTAAATGTGTGTGTGGAGAGCTCCGGTTTAAGCCAGGCAGACTTATTGCCCGCTGAACTTCCCCTGCTGTTTACTGTAAACAGGGAGTACAGGTGAGCAGGAGCAGCTCCTCTTACCTGCTGCTCGAAGTGGGGCTCTGCTCCACTTGGAAATAGTTGCATTTTCTTCTCTTCCCTGCTCCTTTCTACACTTCTATTTTCCTCCCTTATTCATAGTTACAGTTCTTCAGGAGTTTTCAGTGATGAGCAGTGACTCCAATTAGCTGGTAAAAGAGTTGGTCTGATATTTCAGGATCTTTACACGTTAATAGCTAAAGCAAAGTCCAGTGTTGCCTCTTCTATAATAGCAACAACTAGGATATTATTAATTTTAACGTTAGACTATTAGCAATTTTCTTAGTCTGATGTTGGATGGAAGTTTTGAGTAGACACATCTACGATGTAAAATTATGCACACACCTTGTATGTAATTTCTGGTGTTACTTTGGTTGTGTATATGTGGATTTACACTTCATTTTGCTTAATTATGTGTGGGCACAGAAGCACAGTAATAATAACTTTGTGAGCTAGGCCTCGCTGCATAATGGAGTGTTTTCCCTAGAGCTCCACTTCTTCCTGGTGACTGTCACTGATGGGAGCACAGAGAGCTGGCTGGATGTGGTCAGTTCAGAGGCCACTCATGCAGAGCAGTTTCCCAAAGGACAGCTCCTACAGGTTCCTTGCTGCTGCCTGCTTTGTCTCCACACAAGTCTCTGCAAGCTTTAGCAAATATTTAAGAGAAACGTGCTTTTTCTGCCATCAGTTTGTGACTTTCTCCTTCCACTCGTTGTGGATGGTTTCAAAACAGGGCTTGGTGTTTCCAAGTAGCTCAGTTAAGCAACAGCTTCCTCGTACCCTGGTGCTGGCAATGGGACCTGGGGAGTCACTGTCCCTTTTTATGGCCTGTGCTGTCCTCAGTCTAACCCAGAGCTCTGATAGTCTAGGTGTGTAGATTAACTAATCTACTGTATGTTCTTGGCCTTGTGGTTGTTAGTTTGAACCTGCGCTTTTCCAGAGGTCACTGTGTCATTGTGGGTGTGCTCCTGCGGCTGAGGGGAGCGCAGGATCTGAGCAGGAGGGTGCTGGTCCCTGTTCCTGCCGCCCACCTGGGAGCCTCTGGGCCCTGCCTTGTTGGGTGGGCTTGGGAGAGTGGGAGACCACGGCCAAGCTGGGCAAACAGGAACAGGTCAGGCTCTTCTCCCAGGGAACAAGGGACTGGGTGAGAGGAAACGGCCTCCAGCTGTGCCAGGGGAGGGTCAGGTTGGACATCGGGAGGAATTTCTCCCTGGAAAGGGAGGTCAGGCACTGGAAGGGGCTGCCCAGGGAGATGGTGGAGTCCCCGTCCCCAGAGGTGTCCAAGGAATGACTGCCTGTGGCACTCAGTGCCCTGGGCTGGGTGTCGAGGTGGAGATGGGGCACAGGGTGGACTCAGTGGTCTGGGAGGTCTTTTCCAACTCAAATGATTCTGGGATTCTGTGAAATAAAAATTAGAGGCTGGAAAAACAAAGCTGAAGCAAATGGGACAAAAGTGGAAGATGCTTCCACTGCTTCCTGAGTGTTTGTGGTGCAGACTGGAGCTACGGGGAGTAAACAATGCGGAGCACAGAGACCACAGAGGCTGTTTTCAGCAGCAGCTGTTGGGCTTTGGGGCTCCACTGATTAGCTCTTAGAGATGTAGATGCAGCCCATTCCTGCCAGAAAGCTTTACTTTAGGAAACAGCTCTTATTACGTAACAAACAGACAGTTAGTAATCAGATCTCTTCCCCAGTATCACAGTATTGATTCTGGAAACGTTCCCTGTCCCTAAATAACCATCCCCGAGCCAGAGTCCCAAGCAAACATGCAGCTGTCTCCAAGGGGTTTCCAGGTGAACTGGCCCCAAGTCCCAGCTGGACCCTGTGGATGGAGCCCATGGTGATGGTTCTCTACTCAGTGGGACTGGGCTGTTTTCTGTGCTTGGCAAAGGGTTTCACAGACCAAGTGTGATTCTGATTTCAGAGTGATTCTGAATGCAGGCCCCTCCTCCGGGATTAGATTTACATGTGCTATCAGGTCTCAATCTTTATCCCAGGATATAAAACTAGGCTACTTCCTTGCCACACCTAAATAATCACCTAATTTGTAGCTATTTTTTGAGCAGGTTCCTGTTTGTATGTGAAGGTCTGTGTCCAGTCTTGTAATAAACAAAACACCTTATGTCCTAATCCTCGCTCCCTGAGTGTTTGACTGGGGAGGGGAAGGAAAACCAACATTAGGATCAAGCTGAACTGGTAGACTATCTATTCAAATATCTGCATTAAAAATGAGGGGAATGAGGAATATCAGAAAAAAAGGGTGAACAGCTATAAATTAGCTGTCACTAACAAGAACATTTCTTTCTAATTACAATAATTGGCTTATGGTGTTTGTACTGTGTGTGGTGGATTTTCTGGCTGATATTAACCCCCACCAACAGGGAAGGCAGAAATGACTGTTTCAACTGTTTAAGCTGAAACAGCGTTTACACAAGAACACAAAGGTATGGAAATCATCCTGCACACATTAGTCAGTGCTCAGGCTGGAGATGAGGCTTCCCACTCCTTCCAGTAGGACAGGAGGGAATTGAAATACTTTTATCTAGAACTTGATTAATACATTGCGATGTTTGTATGGCGGGAAAGCTCCAAATACTCGTTGACGTTGGTGTTCCTTTGTACTCCTGTTAGTCCCTAGGTACAGTCCTTGGGATTACAGCCATCCCTGTCTGTAGTATTGCCTCATTCCCAGGAACTTGCTGCTCTCTCTGGGAAGACTGTTGCTGTTGAAATCCCAAGAAGGATTTACACATCGAACCTTTCCCCTCATCATTTGTAAAACTTTTTTTTTTTTTTGTAGCAGGGTAATGAAACAGGAGAAAAAGAAGTGGTTAGGTTAAAAATGCAAACAGTGGAAAGAGGAGCCAAAAAAGTTTGTTCCTGGTAGGATGGGAGTGTAGAGCAGTGGTTCTATCATCTAGTGAAGGGTGGGAATATCTTGGTGTCTGAGTACAGAAGGCAGATGAAGTAGTTGGAAACGGTGGGACTAAAAGGAGGAATGAGGATAGGATGCCTATTTTCTGCTTTGTTTTTCCTTTATTTTTGTGCCTGGCAAGTGCTACAACCACTTTTGGGCATGAGAGCTGAGCTGGTTGCCTGCACTGGAACGTGGGAAGGATTTTCCCCATATGGTAAAGTGCTGCTTGGCTTCCACTTGTCAGGGCTGAGTGGCCTGGGGGGATGTTGAGGTTTTGAATTCTGTGTGCAGGGACTTAGTAACCTGTGGGGTGGTCAGGGACTGAAAGGGACCAGTGACCCAGGGAGCTGTCTGGGTATTGTGGGTTATGATGCTGTGCTTGGTTTGAGAGGTGGTTCTTGAATAATGACTTTAATTACAGGGCCCAAACTTGTACTGAGAACCTGGAAAACCATCGGGGGCTTTAGGAGAGGATCTGGAGGGTGGACACTGCTGTGCTGCGTTTGGGACCCACCAGAACTCTTCCTTGGATGTGTTGTCCTTCATCAGAGATCTGCCTTGCAGGGGAAGCATCTCCACTTTGGGTTGGTTTAGGGTTTAATCAGTTAGTCTGGCCTGGCATCCTGTGTAACATTAACCACTCCCAGCTTCTCAAAGGTAAATGAGAGACAGCTGGTGGATGACCTGGTTAAGGGGGTGCTAACTGGGTTGTTTTCTGGTTACATCCCTTTTTTCTTATTATTTGGCCTCTTCCTGCCTTGACACACCCTGCAAACTGCCAGTAACAGAACAGTACAGCTTTCAGGGCTGAAGTTACCCGCAGTCAGAACTGCCTGTGGCTTTACTGCTGCTCTGTCACCATGGCCACCTGCTAAGTAGTCCTTCAGGATGGATGAGAGCTGGATTAGAGGGAGCTGAGGGTAGGACTGCAGCTGTTTGAAGGAGCAGGGCCAGTTCAGGACTCTGCTCAGCCTGGAGGGACATCAGCCTGGGCCTTTCATCATCCCAAATTTACCTGAGAGGCTGTGGGAAGGAAGGGGAAAGACGGGATTAGATGATGCTCCAATGGCAAGTTATGCAAACTTTAGTGGAGATGATTAGAAGTTTTCTATTTTTAAGTCCTGCATTGAGTGACTCACTTTATTAGATGTGTTCGTTGGAGAGGGAATGCGAAGCACCCGGATTCCATGGTAATGGCCCTGTAAAGCACAGGGATGTACAACAGAACAGATTGGGTTTCTTCTCTTAGTTTCCCGGGTTCTGTGTCTGATGGTGGCACGCGCTCCTGCGGCGGAGCTCTGCCGCCTGGATCCATCTGTGCCTTCGCTGCTGCGAAACCATCCTCTTGCTTTGGGCTGACTCGTGGTTCTGGGGCTGAATTCCCCACCCTGCCCTCATTCCTCTCGTTCTTTCCCCCAGCTTTGGCTGTGTGCTGCTCAGATCCAGCCCCATGTCCTCCTAATTAGGAAGTACCTGAGTACAGAAGTGCTGGCGATTGCGGTGCTTCCCTTTCAGTCAGCTGTTGTCTGGGGTGGGAGTGGGTTACACAACTCCAGATGACAGCCAGCCAACAGTCTGGCAGCTGCCTGGGCCAGGCATTACGGGAAGGAAGGAAGGAAGGAAGGCAGGCAGGTCCCTCCCATGGGTCCAGCCTGATGAGGTCCAGCCTGATGAGGGCTGCGCGTGGCCGAGGTTTGGCACGTGGGGTGCTCTGTTCTGAAGCCTCTGCTGACGACAAGTGTTGAAATCTGTTCTTTGAAAGCCAGAATATAAACGGTGCCTTGTAGGTTTTTGGGTTTGAACCATGGGACTGAAAGTGGAGCAGTGTAAGGAATGTATTAAAGGATGAAGGGGAGCCCTTGCCTGTGGCACAGGAGGCCCGGGGTCTGTTAGCTGGTGAGGTCACCAGGGACCTTGCTGGGGCAGGGAGCTGGTCACCAGCCTGGATCTGGAGTGGGACACTCCTCTGGAAGTGACTATTGTATACTGAGCTACTGGTTAAAGAATGCACTGAGGAGGGAGCAGTTCCTACTGCGAGGTGGTTTGTATTATTGACTTCTGTAACTTTTGGAAACTGAAAGTGGGAACTTGTACTGACAAATCTTTTGTGTAATTTCTGTTTCACATAGACTAACTCCCCCTGCCCCTTGGTTTCCTTTCAAGTTTAAAGGCTGTTTCTTGTTATCAGGAACCTTTAGTTCCACTTGAAGCTAATGACTTGTCCCTGTGAATCTTTACCAACGCTCAGCTGGTTCCCTGGGAACTGTTCCCCGGGGTTATTGAACTCCTTGGACAGATAACTCTGTGCAATACCCGCTGCTTGTCACATGCCCCTGGCTCCTCCCGTGCCAGTCAAGGGCTCCTGCTCCTGCCACAGCTTGTTCTAGAGCCTGTCAAGAACCTCAGCCCACCCTCCAAGCAAGGGCATGGGTCCAAAGGTGCCATTTATGGCCTCTATCAAAACCAAGAGTCAGGCTAACATGCAGATTTACAGTGTCAGATGGTGCTGACAGCACTAAAACACTGTACCCTGCTTGAGCTGGTTTGAAAGGTGACTCAGAATATTTGTGTGATGGAAAGATGACTTATTTCTGACTGTAGTGCTTCTTATGCTGGTTGCTATTATAATTGCCATTAAAATAAAATTCTGTTGCCGTCACAAACTATTGATCTCAGCTCAGAAGAGAAACAGGCTTCAGTACCTGCTCGCAGTAAAGGAGGGGTTTGGAAGGGTAGGCTCTTCCCTGGGTACAGCCCTCCTGGGAACAACTTGGGCTGCATTCCTTCGCCTTTCATCTGTGCCCTGGTGTGTCCTGCTCAGAGCCAACAGCAGCCTTTCCCAGCAGCCTTTCCCAGCAGCCTTTCCCAGCAGCCTTTCCCAGCAGCCTTTCCCAGCCGTCTGGGACAGCGCTGGAGGAAAACCCCACAAGTGAGTGTTTGTAGCCTCTAATTTCCCTCTGGCTTTGTGACTGCTGGGGCAGCGTTTGATCCATCCTTGTGATGTGCCATTTCCCACCTGCAGTGCTGTTCTTTTCCAGGGGAAGCCACAGGAGATGTTCTGTGCCCCAGCAGAGCCCAGACCAGCCTGGCACGTCGGTGCCAGAGGACTGTCCAGGCTCTGCAGCCCCTGCTAATGCCCCAAGCTCATCCAGACACATCTGCTCAGACCTCCCAAAGGTGGGCTCCTGGGTTCCTGGGATGCAATTGAGCTGTTCCAGGTGTAAAAGCCCCGTCTGCAGGTTGGAATGCCTGTCTGGCTTTGCGCTGGAGTGGTTTACGTTAAGCCCTGTTTTCCTTTTTGTCCCTGAATAAGCTTCTCACAGGGATGGTGAGCAAGATTGATGTGGCAATTTGAGCAGCAGGGCTCCTGGGAGGGTTCCTTTCTCTGGAGAATTGCCTGTAATCGGGGTCTCAGCTCTGAGGAGAGCTAATGCCACACGCCCCCGGTGTGGGGTGAGCAGAGGGGAGCCCCTTCCCGAGGGCTGAGGCCAGAGATCCCTCCTGTACAGCCAGCACCCAGCCCCTGTGTGTGTTATAAATGTTACCTGCACGATCACAGTGGCAGAACTGTTCTCTGTGGCACATCCAATGTCCCTTCAGTGTGGTTAGGGTGGCTGTATCCACAGTGAGAGCAGGGTCAGCTCCTGCTGGGAGCCATCCTGACCCTATTCCCTGTGTGCCGCACCGTGGTCGTGCCCAGCGCTTGCCATTGCTGTTCCCTGAGTTGCTGTGAACGGGATAAAGGAATTAATTAAATTCTGAAGGCTGGCTGTCCTTTTTTGATACGTACAGGGACAGTTAATGGCCTGAATTGGCAGTAGAGATTGCTGGGTGCTGCCATACAGCAGAAGGTGTCTGTAACTCGGAGTGAGGGTGGAGTTGATTTCTCCTGATTGATTTCAGGCTGTGCAGAATTGTCCCACAGACAGTTTAGAAATCTACTACACAACTTCGGGGGATTTTTGATTGTTTTTTTCAGTTATATATACAGTGACATTTCTAGTGTGATTGACAATGAGAGAAACTATAGATTCAGGTTGATGCAGTAATATTTTTTAATATAAAACTAAAGGCGTAAAGGTCAAACAGCTACAATATTTCTTCAGTTTTAAAAACTTGGAAGGGGGGTTGTTTTTTTGGTTTTTTGGTTTTTTACAAGTACTGATAAAATGCCTGTTAAAAAGGCCCAGTAAAACTTGCAGTCCTAAGATAATGATTTTCTTGTTGGAAAAAAAATACCTTCAGAGTTGTCTAGGAAGCTGCATTTTTTAAAGCAAGCTGGTGTAGACGATGATCACTGGGGCTTTTAGTCAGTGGTTTGTGTACTGTGTGCTGCTCTAATTCCATGAAAGGGTAATGGTGTAATTCTGGCAGGTATGTCCCTGGTTTTCAAAGTGTCAGGAGAGGTCTAAGCAAGGGCACGGGAAGCAGGGATGAGTGTTGGCTGTGCTTACAGGAATGAGGTTAAGGTTTGGGTGGGAAGGGACCTTAAAGCCTATTCAGTCCCATCCACTGCTATGGGCAGGGACAGCTTCCACCAGCCCAGGTTGCTCCAAGCCCCGTCCAGCCTGGCCTTGGACACTTCCAGGGATCCAGGGGCAGCCACAGCTTCTCTGGGCAACCTGGGCCAGGGCCTCCCCACCCTCCCGGGGAAGGGATTGTCCTTTGGGACAATCCATTCTGGGAACGTGTCTCTGTGTACGGCATGTGCAGGCACATGGGCAGGTCAGTGAAGTGCCCTGGTTGTGTGTTTGTGTCCTGACAAGCCTCGGGGGAGGCTGCAGGACCCCCAGCCCAGCCCTGGGATGGGGAGCTGCCCTGGCCCCCTGCTCCTGCCCCAGAGCTGCTCCTGCCGTGTTGTCAATCCACTGGTGTCCCGCTCTTGGCATGGAGCTGCACACATTGCCCACGTCTGCTTTAAGCTTTAGTGGTGCTAAATCTGTTATCTGGGCAGTGCTGGGGCAGGCTGTGCCCTGGACAGAGGTGTGTCCGTGTCCGGAGGGCCCGGAATGCTGACAGGAGTCCCTCTCACGGGATGTGTGTTGTCTCCAACACCACAGGAGCCCCACGGGCCAGGGAAGATGGAGTAGGTTGTGCCTGCTTAAGATTCAGGTCAGTCCCATGCAAATTTTTCATTCAGGATCCGAACACTGGGTCTATTAAGAATTAGCCTGACCCACATAGGGCTGGTTTTAAACCCTCTGGAGCTGGATGATAAAGTGTTGTGCTGCTTTCCAGCCGCTCAGTCTTGTCCCTGTCTGTGCTGCTGCCTCTCGCTGAGGGACCCACGTCCTGACCAGACACCATTCCGGGGTAGGACGGGCTGTGCTGGTGTGTAATTCCCAGCTGGAAAGCAGGATGGAGTGCTCTTAGGCTAATGGGATTGTAGCAGGAGTTCGATGGGATGGGAGGGTAGCTAAGGGTGATGCTGTGGAGCAGATCCACTGGGGTGTTGGGACAAGGATTTGGTGCCCTGACGGCTGAGGACAGGCTGTTCCTGGTCTGCCTTTGCCATGGCATTGGAAGTACTCGTCACAGACAGGAGTGTCACTGTGGGGGTGTGTACAAGTCTCCTCAGATCTGAATACTCTTGTCATTCAGCTTTCACAGCAAGCACCAGAGCACTCTGGCTTGCCTCTGTCTAGACTTTGTTTAGAAATTATTAATATTGCAATGAAAATCGCTAATTAAGACATTGCTACTCTAAATTTCAACTTGTCACAACATTGTCATTAGTTTCTGCAAATGGTCTCTCCTGTGTAGCCCAGATTCTGACATGGTAAATCTGCTGATTTAATTTTTATCTTCTTTTCTTCCAGTAAAAATGGCATTTCAGAAGGCAGTGAAAGGAACTGCTCTCATTGGAGGAGGTGCCATAGCAACAGTTTTTGGCCTCTCTCAATTTTCTCAGTATAGAAACAAACACGTAAGTATTAATTATGATTTCTGATAAAATATGAAACTTAAAATCTGTCGGAGCGTATGTCAGGCTCGTAGGAATGGTTTTGTCTGGGGAGGAGTGCCAAGAGCCTCTTGGCTTGGTTTGGCAGGCGCTGATCTTGGCATTAAAGCTGCTTCACTGGCGTGGGTCTGTGACTGGTGGGGAAGTGTGGTGCTTGTAAATCATTTTTCATGCTTAAAAAGTGACCTTTGGGTGCTACTGGGGGTTTTACTTGGTTGTGGGAGGAGTGGAAAGTCCTGATGGAAGTATAAGCACTGTCTGGACAGTATTTTCAAGCTTAGAATGTGGAAGTGAAACCACCAGCACTACCTCTGAACATCTCGGCTCCAAAACAGTGGCAGTGCCACCTCCTGTTCAGTTCATGGGGCTGGAAGCAGTTTGGGGGCAGGATCTGTGCCAAGGCTGTCTGTGGGACGGCTCCTGTTGTCCCTGGTGGGCACAGCCCAGGCACTGGTGAGCTCGGGGGTCACTTCAGGGCTGTGCTCGAGGTCACTGTGGCACAGGCAGAGTCAGTTCCCTGCAGGCAGGGAAGGTGCTGGAGACCTGCTGGTACACTCCAGCAGTGGGAGCAGAAAGGTGCAGGAGATTCCAGTGCCAGTCTGTGTGTTGGATCTTGCTGTTGTAGAAAATAGGCTTCCCTGGGATGTCTGCTCCTCACAGCAGGGTCAGCATGGCCGTGCTCTTTAACTCCCTTCTCCATCACAGACCCACAGACTTGTGGAGGCTGGGAAAGCCCTCTCAGACTGAGTCCAACCATTCCCCCAGCACTGCCAAGGCCACCACTGACCCCTGTCCCCACATGCCACATCTACATGGCTTTTAAATCCTTCTTCTGGCTGTTTCTGTGGGGAGGAGGAACAGCTGGGAATGAGATGAGTCATTTCTGGGGAGCCTAGCTGGGAAGTGGATAAGCCAGGATCCTTATGGCTTCAGGCACTGTTGCAGAAAATAAACCCCAGCTCTCAAGTGAGGTCCCCATGGTGCTTCCTGCCTTGCTTGGAGCTGATAGTGCTGCTTTGAACTCTCTCCGGAGTCTTTATCCCAGGGTTTCACAGCCTGGCTTCAGTACTGTTCCACCAGCACTTCAACACCAGTGGTGACAGAGAGGTGGACGTACCAGATCCTCTTGCTTCCTGACTGAATTGATGGGGTGTTCTGGGATGTGCCAAGTCGAGCTGGCAAACACTGATAGCTTTTCTTCCCCTCCCTCCCTGTAGTCACCAAGGGGAAAGGCACTGCTTTGGTGTGGAGCTGTAAGACATTGTTGTCCTTTCCCAATCCTCTCTTCCCTGTGTGGAAGTGTGTTGTTGGTCAGTGGGAATTGCTCAGCAAGGTGAATCCAATAGTGAGATAATATGATAATGCATTGGGGGCTGCTTAGGGGAGTTTTAATTACTTGATTTTTTTTTTGTTTAAGAGAATAAGGATGATGAATTTGACTCTGCAAACCTACCTGGAGATTTACAGTAGCAAATTAACAAGAGCACTGGCTTATGGATTACTAGATCACTTTATAACTTGATGATTAAATTCAAACTGCCAAACTAAATTCCTCTCACTAAGAGTGTAATCAAAACCATTCAGGGAACTCTTGCCTGAGAAATTGTAGATATAAACAGCAATTGCTTATTTCAGTAAACACACTTGTTCACTGCCAAACTAATCACGTTACTGCAGATGGAATCCCTGTGTGCAGCTTTTCTTCACTCCCCCATTTAATTGACAGCAAGATGCATCATATCTATATCAATTCCTGGTGCTAATCACTCTGCTTATATTCCAGGGCTAATCTCCAGACTCTGGCAATACCAGGGGCTGGATGCTGGGGACTGTGCTCTGGTTCTGCTTTGAGCCATTTGTTGTAAAAAATGTGTTTAAAATCAAACCAAAACACAGAGTCAAACCCGACTGACACCAGTACTTCTTGTACTCTGAGTTTGGCTTTTCTGGTGTTCTCTTATTTTCCTGAAGTTAAGTTGTACACCTGGAATATTGTCTGGAAACCCAGCGCAAAGCTAATTTGGAGGTGGGGATTTTGCCTTCTCTGAAGGTCACCAACTGAGCTTGGCCAGCCAAAACTTGTGTGAGACTGAGCCACAGGTGGTTTTAGTCTTCCCGGTGTCCTGCTGGTCAGTGCTGTCTGGGAGTCGCAGGGTGGGGTTCAGGGAAGCTGGGAAGTTGGCAGCAGCTGCCTGGCTGCAGTCACTGGGATGACCCAGCACTGCTGCAGCAGCAGCTCACCCAGGAGGAGCAGGAGCCAACCTTGGCTCTGCAATCAGAGCATGTTTGGGTGTTCAGCAGGAAAATTTAGATGTGCTTCAAGTCCTGTCCCTTTTTGGGAGGGGAAGCTCTGAGAGCCGTGGCTGGAGGCTCACAGCAAAGCTCTGTGGAGCACAGGGCAGAGGGATGTCTTAGAGCCACCAAGGAAGGAGTGGAGACAGGAACGGCTGGATCCTCTCACTGTCTCCATCCTTGTGTCCATGACTCCCTGGAAAAACAGGTACTGGAACTGTATCACTGTTCCATACTTTATAGAGGTTGTGGACTCCTCATCCCTGGATGGACCCCTCTGAGATGTAAAATCAGGTTGCCCAGAGAAGCTGTGGCTGCCCCTGGATCCCTGGAAGTGTCCAAGGCCAAGTTGGACAGGGCTTGGAGCAACCTGGGCTGGTGGAAGGTGTCCCTGCCCATGGCAGGGGGTGGAACAGGATGGGCTTTGAGATCCCTTCCAACCCAAACCACTCTGGGATTCTATGCTATGTTTCTACAATACTTTGTGGGATATAAAAGCTTTTGGCACTGCTGGAGAGGCCAGGGCAGGGGAGAGAGCAGGGCAGGAGGCAGCAATAGGTGGGAATGGGAAGAATTGCATGGCCAAGTGAATAACATGGCAGCTGAATTTCTTTGAAGCACCCAAAGTCTGTCCCTCACCCGGTGATCTTTGCCAGCAGCCACATGTTGTGTAAACACGGGAGGGAGAGCGAGGGGAGACTAATGGGGAGGCTCATCAGGATTCACCTCCCTGCTTCCCTGCTCCTCTGTCTGTGTGTGCCTGGAGCGCCGGGAGCTCGGCTCTGTTTGAGGGCTGAGCCGGCTTTAAACAGCTCCTAATGAGGAGACCTTTGTTCCCAGCGTTTGCAGCCCAGCCTGGGCACAGGGGGATGAGCACTTAATGCAGCTCAGGTGAGGCTGTGCCCCAGGAGGGCTGGCCTGGGGGAAGGATGGCAGCCCATGGCAGCCACAAGCAGTGTGTTTGGGGAAAAAACAGGGGTCATGCTGGGAATTGCCAAACTTGGGTTTTCCTAAATCTTAATTTTCCCTTTATTTCCCTTTATCGTGGGCTGTGTTTAATCTTTGCAGGGTGCCTTGGTGGAGGTTCAGGCTGCAGAGGTTGTCCCAGTGAAGAACCAGCTCCCCACGAGAGAACAGCAGATTTTGGCCCTGCAAACCAACAGTGAATTTGATGTCATTGTCATAGGAGGAGGAGCAACAGGCTGTGGCTGTGCTCTGGATGCAGCCACCAGAGGTAAGGGCCTGGAAGTTCAGTTGCAGGCTTATTCTTTATAATAAACTTATAAGACTGGCTTTTCAAATCTCCTCGAAGGTAGAGGAGGTGTGCCCTGAGTGCTGGTTATACGACTTCTGCTCTCAGGAGGTACAGGGAACTTGAAGAAGGTCCATACAGCAGATCCCTGCTCCCATTGCCCCACCCTGGGGCATTAGCTGGTAACTGGTTTCAGAGGCTCCCAGGAACAGCAGGGTTGATGTTAGCTTTTTGTGGAGCCTTAACTTGGGGAAAGGGCGAGGGAAGGTGAGTTTAAGCAAATGCACTGGAAGTGCCACCAGTGTGCTGGGGCAGAAAAGGCAGCTGTAAAGCAGGTAGAAATTATTACAGTTAATCTCTGTTTATCCTTTTCTTGGATATTCTGATTATGTCAGGAGATTTCTGAGGTGTGAAATATTCCTGGGCATTTGGTTAATGAGTTGCCTCTCATTGCTGTTCGTTCATGGAACTTGCTCCTTTATTGTGTTTGCTTCACTTAACAACAAATTTTGCTTTTCATGTGTTTGATAAATCTTCACCAAATTTTTTCTGATTGTGTCCATTAATCTTAAGTCACATTTGACAAAAATATATTGCTCTGATCTTTGGAAGTTACTAGTAATAATTAGATTTTTTTTAAGGACTGAAAAGTTTTGGGAGACCAGTAGATGTTAAAATCTCTGGTGGACACTGCTGAGGCACTTCCAGTGCTGTGTCCAGTTCTGAGCCCCTCATGACAAGAGAGACATTGAGGGGCTGGAGCCAGGGGAAGGGAACGGAGCTGGGAAGGGGCTGGAGCAGCAGGAGGGGCTGAGGGAGCTGGGGGGGCTCAGCCTGGAGAAAAGGAGGCTCAGGGGGGACCTTCTGGCTCTGCAACCCCCTGACAGGAGGGGGGAGCTGGGGGGGTCGGGCTGTGCTCCCAGGGAACAAGGGACAGGAGGAGAGGGAATGGCCTCAGGCTGTGCCAGGGGAGGCTCAGGTTGGACATCAGGAGGAATTTCTCATGGAAAGGGTGGTGAGGCCTTGGCAGGGGCTGCCCAGGGAGGTTTGGAGTGCCCAGCCCTGGAGGTGTCCCAGGAAGGCCTGGCCGTGGCACTCAGTGCTCTGGGCTGGGGGACAAGGTGGGGAATGGGCACAGGGAGGACTGGATGATCCTGGAGGGATTTTCCAACCCAAAGGATTCTGTGATAAGCCTGATCAGATATTTCCTGTTGTGTCAGAATTCTGGGTGTGCCCACATTCCCTGGTGAGCTCTCCCTGAAGGTGCCCAGGGCCAGCTCTCGCCTGGTTTTGGGCACCTCAGGCAAAGTGTAAGCAAGCAAAGCTGTCAGTTGTCTCCCTCTCTGGAATGCTGTTTAAATTGTTAGTGCAAGAGGTGTAGAGCTCTCTGCTGCAAGGACCTGGAAGTGTCCATGCAAACCCTCTGTCCCTGCCGTGCATCCAAGCTCTCATTTGCTTGCGGGAGCGTGGCCCCTGTAATGTGCTGTAATGCCTTTCCATTGTGAAATATCCAGCTTTTAATGTGCTTCTGTTTAAGTTCTGGTTTGACTTTTCCCTCAGGAAGGAGGCTAAAATTTTTCATTACAATATAGACAGTGCACTACACTTTGAATACAAATTCATCCATGTACAGAGTAATTTTTCTTGTGATTGTCTCTACCCTAGAGAAGTGTCTTTAATGAATTACATACAAATTGTGTAATTTAAGAAGTTAATTTGGTTTTCTGGTAACACAGGACTAAAAACAGCCCTTCTAGAAAGGTATGATTTCTCATCGGGGACCAGCAGCAGGAGCACTAAATTGATCCATGGTGGGGTGAGGTACCTCCAGAAGGCCATCATGAAGTTGGATTTCGAGCAGGTAATTGTTTGTGCTGGTTGTTAAGCAAGAATTTCTGGTAGACACTTCCCCTGTCCCAGTTAGATCCGGTTCTCCTTTTGATTTTTTCCACTCCTTGACTGTTGTGTGCCACAGCCACTGTGCATGGGAAGTGTCTTCTCCTGGGGAGCTTTCCAGGCTGCTGCCTTGGCTCAGCTCTCTGGTGGGCAGTGCAGTGGCCAGGCCTTGTGGATCTGGGGCCAGGAAGGCAGGGACAGGGCTGGTCTCAGAATAAAAAGAGCTTTCTACTTGTCATGGTCAGAATCTGGGGGAGTGGGTCTGTCTGTCCTTGTTCTGGAATGGGGGAAGAAAACATAGTAAAGGAATGATTTAACTTGGAATGAGGAAAAAATATTGTTGATGAGTGATTTATTTTGTCATAGGGAAAAAGATGGTAAATAAGAGGTGTATTTTGGCAAGGGGAAAGAAAATATGGTAAATGAGTGATTATATATAAATGCTTTTGTATATTCCTGTGTTGTTGGAAGCCTGGTATTCCTGTTTTGAGGAATTGCACTGTCTTCCCATTGAAACCTCTCAAAGTATGTTCTGGCAGTTGTAGCACTGCTACAGAAATGGTGATTTTCAGGGGAAAATATCTAAACCGTGCAGTTATCCAGATGTAGAAACCAACCTTTTTTGCCAAAGAACAACTTCATGTTGATGTACATTGATTGGTTTGGACAAGAACCCTTCTGCATTTGCAGCTTGGAGTTAGGGTGGGATTTAAGTGTGGGAATTGGCTTGGAAGCTGTGTTGTGGGACACGTCCCAGCCCTCCCAAGTGCCTCCTGCCCATCGTTAGGGCAGTGTGGCTTAGTGTGCTTTATGTTGAAATCAGAAATTATCCAACTGACCTGCCAAGACACCAAGATTAAATTACTGAAGGTTAATTTTGTCGGGAATGGTTTTCCTCAACTGTTGAGTTTTCCAGCGGCTCTCGGTGTGTCTCTGGAAGGCGAGTGGGAATGGTGTGAGGTGGTGGCTTTGATGCGGTTCCTTGTTGAGTGTTGCCCGTGGGTTGGAGCTGGGTGGGTGTGGCTGACCTGGCTCTCTGTTTGCAGTACAGGATGGTGAAGGAGGCTCTGGAGGAGCGTGCCCACCTGCTGCAGAGCGCCCCGCACCTCTCCGCTCCGCTGCCCATCATGCTGCCCATCTACAAGTAAGCTCTGCTCGGCCATCTCCCCTTTCCCTTGCCTGCTGACAAGCAATCCACGTCCCTGGAGAAGTTCCCAGGTCCCCCTTCCCAAAGCACGTCCCCAAAGCTGTCACAAGCTCTGCCCTCCAGCGGGTGAGATGTTGCTGGACTGTAGAAACATGAAGGTTTCTTAGGCTGCTTTGAGGTGCAGCTCTTCGGGGCCCTTCCAGCACCTCAGTTAGGAGCAGCTGGAAAGAATTCTCATTCCCAGGATGTTGTTTGCTATTCTCTCAGTACACCCTTATCTTCAACACACCCATCACAGTGTTCTCAGCAATGTGGTGTTCATCCCTATGGCCACAGGCTGCTTGAGTATGGAGAGAACAGTTTCCTTCTCCTCTGAGGAACGGGGTCTAAGTGCTTTGGGTTAGGTTTTCAGATCTCAGAGGACAGTTACTCACTGGAACAGGCTACTTAGAGCAGGGAGATTTTGCTGAATGATCTTAATTTTATTAAGATCCTTCCTGTCTTTATTATTCCTGACTTAATGGAAGGTGCTAATAAAAACTGGAGCTCACACAGGTTGGTGATCGACTGCTTTTATGTGGTCCTGAAGTACAAAAAGCCAGTTTAGATCCTAATTCTAGAGCAAACAAAGCCTTGAATCTGCTTGACTCACTGCAGTGAGCAGCTCTGTTGAAAACAGTAGCAAACAATACCTCAGACTTGAGTATTTACATTACATTGTGGTACCAGGAGCTTGTGTGAAGGTAGGAGGTAAAACTGGTGTAATACAACACACTGTTACTCAACAGGCTCTGTGCTACAATAACAGTGTGTGCATGTACCTCTAAATTCTTCATTGTTTTCACCTCATGGGTACTTTTTTCCATGCAGGTGGTGGCAGCTGCCGTACTACTGGATTGGGATAAAACTCTATGACCTGGTGGCAGGAAGCCAGTGCCTGAAGAGAAGTTATGTCCTCACCAAGTCAAGAGCCTTGGAGCTCTTCCCGATGCTGCGCAAGGACAAGCTGGTTGGAGCTATTGTCTACTACGATGGTACGTCGCTCTCTGTGCTTCCAGTGCTCGTGTCGTGCTGGGTTTGGGGGCAGAAACACGGGGGTGAGGCTGTAGGTCCTGTACAGTGAGCCTCTAAAGGGAAGAACAACAGCCTGAAGGATTCAGCTTGCCTCTTGAGCGTGAGTTTGGTAGGTAAATTATGGTTTTGTGACAGTAGCTTACTGAAGGTAGGAGAAAATATATTGGTTTTCTTGGCTAGTGGGTGTAGTGCCGTGTGAAAGTGTTCTGGTGATTCCCTACAACTTCCCAGCTGGGCATGGTGCTCTGCACTTCTTGGATTGAACACTTCTTCTTGAGGAAGAAGTCAAGAAAATCTGATGGTTCCAGCAATGTCCAGTGGGTTGCTGTGGCACTTCCACTGTGCAGACAACTTCTAACCTGGATCTGGATGAGGTGATTGTGGTTCTCACTCTGGGTTGGATGAGGCCTGGATCAATTAGTTTGTATATCATCAGTAAAATTAGTTGCTCTGCAAAAAGAGCATTTAGTAATTACAATCAAATACTAAAGATTGCCATAAGACATGAATGGTTTCTGTTAAAACCCCTTTAAACAATGGGTTAATTAATTAATAATTAAATAATTAATTAATGATTCCGGAGAGGAAGAGTTCCTAGAAGGGGGCCTGGCTCTTCATTGCAGCAGACTGGTGTGCTGTCCCACCAGATTGGTGCTGTTCCTCCTCCTCTTCCACTTCCAGGACAGAAAGTTTGGTAAGGCTTCCTTGGAAATGGGGCGAGACAGGTAATATCAGAATATCCTGCCGTGTTCTGGATAAGGCAGCAAGCCATGGATTCCTTGCAGGCTTGGAGGATCCCTCCAAAATAAATAACTGAAGTGCTGATTTACTTCCCCAGTGGTACCATTCTGGTTAGTTTGTACCTGAAGGTGTGGTTTCTGACCTTTTGGCAGCAGAAAGGCCTTTACACAAGATGGGTTACAAAGGGAGTTCTTTTCCCTTTGTAGATCTGCATTTACACTTCATCAGCTCATCAAAGGGGCTTCTGGCCTGGGAGGGACTCTGGAAACACGCTGGGCTCCAATAGTGCTTGTGAGGCTTCTGGCTAAAGCTGATGTTGGTAATTGCAGGTGTCTCAGACAGAGCCCAGCAGCTGGAAAAAAAACTTAAAAATTCGTATGTATGTGTGGGAATACGTATGTGCAGGTTCTTGTTTGGGAGTAGGGTGGTATTTAAGGGATGGACTTGATTTTTGCCTATCTCTGAGGGAGCTGCATCTCATCTGTCTTATTTTTGAGGTCTCAAGGAAATAAGGGGTTTTTGGAAGCAAAATTTGCTGTGGGATTATGTGGTGGGTTTTGTACACTGTACCCTTGTGCAGCTGCTGTAGATACAAAGAAGGAATTCAGATTTCTTTATTCCTTATCCTAAGCTATCCCTTAGCCTGCTCTGAGGGATCCCAGGAGCATGCCAGAAGAATGGAGTGGTTCTCTTAGCTGTAATTACACTCCTCAGAAGAGCACTATAGCTTGAAATCCGTTTATAATCCAGTGAAGTTTTTTATGATTAAATAAGTAATTTGGCTATATCGTGGCTATTTACTACTCCCAACATTCCAAAGATGCACCTTTCAGGATAGCCCTAAAATTAGTCCTCAGGTTTCCTGGATGAATAGTTATTTTGAACGGTGTTGCAATAAATCTAAAGATTGGGCTTTGATGGCAAACACCAGCAGGGCAGGGCTCTGAGTGACTGAGAGATGTCTCTGGAGGTTTTGGTGCCATCCCAACAAAAGAAAACAAACCCAGACTCTAAATATTGGAAATGAAGAAGTGTAAAATAGAAAAGAAAAAATATTGTATGTCTTGCCTTATTTTGGTTTCTTTATAAGATACAGCTTAGTTATCCCCAGGTTTAGGCAGAATGTAAAGAACTGGTGTTTTGCAGGGATAAAAAATTGAAAAACCTCTCAAAGCTCCACCAAACCTCAGTTTCCCTGAAGAATAAAGTGGTTCTGAAAGGGGTGAAGTTTGTGTGTTGATAATACACATCTGGGTGCTTTGAGGCTGCACCTAATGCAGAAGACTTCCCAACTGAAATGTTAAATCAGTTCTTAACGTGCCACATTTCGACTCAGTTTTGCCTGCAGTGCCCCCTCTGCAGGTCAGCCCCTGGGCTCGCTGGGCTCGTGTGGGGTTGGAGCACATGAGCTGTTTTATCCTGATCAGTTAACCTGTTCTGGCCACAGGAAATTTGTTTTAAGCCATAACGTTTCAGCAGGCACCCTTTAGGTCTTGTAAATCATTATGCTTGAATTTTAATGCTACACTTCACACCCTAAATCCAGAGGAATGGAGGACAAAGGGAAAGGGAATTGAACTGAAAGTAGAGAAGGGGGTGATAAATGGAATTAAGCTGCTTTTAGTACTTTCAGAATGATTAGTCATAAAATAAAGCATTAAATAACGACAAAGAAAAAAATACAAGTCTTAAAGTCAGTGATATCTTTGTCTTCTCTGTCCATCCCTTGTCTCTTCCCTACATAATTAATCAATAAATTGGTCTTGACTGTTTCTGTAACTGCAGTTAAAGGTAGTTTTCTCCTGTTTTCCCACTTTCCTTTATTCCTGTCCGTCATCCCTTGTCCCTGTGGTTGTTGATAACGGGGCTGTTAACGATCACAGATGTTGATGCCCAGCACCGAAGGGGAGAATTAAAAATCCTGGGTATGTGAGGCAGTGCTTTCTGTGCTCAGGCCCCTGCCCAGCTGTGCCTCAGTGGTGGTGGCCGTGTGCCTTTGCAGGGGGAAGCCCGGGAATGCTCTTTGTGTGGGGCTGTAATTGGTGGTGGGGCCGGTGGCACGTCCAGCCATCCATAATTCATGAGGATGTTGTTCCCAAACGGCGCCGGGGTCGTCTTCATTACATCTTCTAAATTGTTTATACAGGCAAAAAAAAATGGTACATTATAAATGTTGGAAGTACCAGCAAGAGCAAATCACAGCCTTGTCCAGAGGCTATTCCTGCTCTGCCTGAGCATCGGGAAGCCAAAGCATATGTTGGATGTTAGCCGGGGTGTACACAACGTGTCCTATTTATTCAAGGTTTGCTTTGAAGCCACAACTTACAAGTTTGTTTCTTAGGGGGACATGTCAGACTGCATTTAGCATTTGTTGGTATGAGGATACTCCTGAATAGCAAAGAGGCAACATTTTGGGGGGAGAAGGCGGCTGCTATGTGAGCAGGAATCTGTCAGATCCACTTAGGGGGCTCGGGGACAACTGGGGAAGAGGCACAGTGGAGAGGCTGGGCTGGCTCAGGATCAGGGCAGGATTGTTCCAAAGCCCTTCAAAGGGAAGAATTCATCTCCATTTGAATTATATAGAGTTCATTATGGTAAAAACTAGGAGAGCCATTACAGCAGGGATCCAGCTGGCCAGCATGTGTCAATGTAAGGTGTTCAGCAATTCCAAGTGGCACGGTTTTCTTTAAGATACATTATTTTTCCATTTCTAGGTGCTTGCAGACATTTTTAACATGTTTTTTCTTGCAAGATGAGCCTTTAGGTGCGTAAGGAAAATTTGTATTCCAGAATCAGTCACAAATTTAAAATTTTAGAACTTTGCTGACCCCGCTCTCTGAATTTCCAGCTATTTCCTGAAAGCAGGAATTAACATATGCTACTTCTTGGACTCCTCTGCCACATCAGGGGATTGGGTTGTTTAATGTCTTGTTCTACAGATTTCCAGTATGTTTACTGGGATGTAAGTAGTTGGCTTTTATTTTTTTGCATTCTCAGTAGTTTTGTATACATTCTCTCCTGAAATATTTTAATATGGAGGTTATTTAAAGGTGTAAAAAGCCTTGGCAGAGGATTTCGCTTTCCCTGTTTACAGCAAACCCCCTGAGAAATCCTTCCCAGGCACACACAGACACACACAAAAATCAATGCAAAAGAGTAGGGCATTCATTAAGCTGTCAAAAATGGAATAAATGCTTTTTTTTATTTAGGCTCTTGTAGCTATTTTTCCTAGGATTTGAGTGTGTCCTGAATTATGAAATGTTATAGCTTTATAATTCATGTTTGACAAATGGATATTTGGAGATGTTGAGCTGTAATAGGGGTATTACAGACAACTCTGTGGCTGTTTTTCCTTCCCTGGGTATAAAAACTCTGACAGTTTGTCACTAGAAATACTTTCCATAGGTGATTTTAAATACACAGCTCCTCACATTTCTTGGTATTTCAAACCTGAGGCTAGATGGGTGGGAGAAGCCTTGCAGGCACACTAACCATGGGTATAACCAGGGAAATACTCTGTGTATGTTCCATAACCTCTTGTTTTCCGATACATTTTGTCCTGTGTTCCATAAAATAGAGCTGTCTGTGAAACCCTGGAGGAAACGGGCAGGATGTGAGGAATTCAGAGGGGAATTCTGGCTGCCTCTGCTGGGTTGCAGGTACAGTGAAAGCCCACAGCAGCCAGAGTATTTTCCTTGCTGTATTGGCACGAGCAGCAGTGGGGATCCAGGATAACCCCAGTTATCCCTGGCACAACCCGTGGGTCTCCGTTTGCTGGTGCTGCTGCCGACTCCCACCGTGCTTTGCCCGTCAGAGCTGTTTTATCCTTCTCAAAAGGGATAAAATCAATGGCCTGAACCAGCTGCATCTTTAACCCAGTTTTGCCTCTGTCAGAGGTGCAGGCTTAGCCACGTCCCTGCAGGATGAGCCCTTTGCTCCCGACAGAAGGGCCGTGCATCCGCAGCGCTCCCTTCCCTGCGCTGGAGGCTCCTTCCCAAAAGCTGGCGGATGGTAACTGCATCCTGCTGTACCTGTAACAATTTAATTGTGTAAGTCAGCCCAGTCAAGCATCCCCAGCTCATGACTGGAAGACATGAAATTCATTGTCATTATTGTCCCTGTCATTTTGGATCATTATATCCTGCTGCAGAATTTTCCTCACTCCAGTGCTTTCGTACCTCCAGGAAGCAGGGATTATGGCTGAGGTTGGGGTGGGGGC